GCCCCTAAATGGGTAAAAATACAAAGCCCTTAAATGGGACTAAAAATGAGTTAGCAGGAGTTAAGTTTAACAGCAGATGCAAACTCAGCAAGAGCACAGAAAACTCTTAACAAACCCTTTTGGGTAATCGTTGAAATGCGAGCCCTTTGGATTTTTTTTTTTTTTTTTCTTTTTTTTTTGTTAGTGCCAAAACCGTTACATGCAATTATGAAATTTTGGATTACATTCTAGAATTCAAAGGAATAAGACTTTCATTTGAAAAAAACCTTTTTTGTTGAAAATTAGAACAGCTAAAAAAAACATATTAATTGAATAAAAGAGTGGAAGAGTGTCATCTCAAATAATGAAATCAGTAAATCCACATTTCACAGTAATAAAATGAAATGTGTCAGATGAAGAATCAGAGGAAAAGATATATTTACGGTGCCTGTTGGTGAAAATTGACAATTTTTGGCGGTACACAGACATTGAGTTTGTGCAATCCTTTGACTTGTTATTTTGGCTTTGTGTTATTTTTTGCATCAAAAATCACTACTACACAAAGCCAAAATATTAAGTCAAAGAATTGCATAAATTCAATATCCATGTACACATCGACCTATTTTCACTTAAAAAAACATCAGAGAATTGCACAAACTTGACATTTACACACCAGTCAATTAAGGCTTTTTTCCCTTTCATTCCAAATCATACAGTAACTTCAAATTAATCTTAGCCATTTTCACGTGTAAACCACAAAATAAGCAACATACTTCCTAACCAACATCCAACACACAAACAAGCCCATACAAATCTTTTCCCATCAGTCAAATTCACCGCAATCACGCAACCAATTATGTAATACAGTCAAAAGTTGTTAATTCGGACACCCATAATCCGGAATGATCTATAATCCGGACCTCAAAGCTAAAATCTTTCTGCGCATGCGTCGTAGGCATTTAAGCATGCGCGTACAGACCTTTACGACTGCGCATATGTGTGTGGGCAAGTGCATAATATACGTTTACGCATGTGCACATTTAATGTATAACGGACGGTACAAGCTAAAATGATCTAATTATCTATTTCAGTTAATGTTGATGATGCGTTGTTCCTTAATCTTCGAATTGGATCCGGCTTATTATTTTTTGCAGACTGTAAGAGCAATTTTATAAAAGTAAGCTTGAACTTTCGATTATGTCAAATAGAATTTCTGATGCTGGAGCTCCCAAAGGATCTAGAAAACGAAAGTATGTTTCGATGTCCATCAAACAAAAAGTGGAATTGCTACAAAAAATGGATAAAGGCATATCCTTTGCTTATCTAACCATTCCAAAATCTGTTTATCAATTTCACGCTGCTCTGCGAGGGGGCGAACGTTGTGGCGCGCAATGAACTGGAAGTGATCTGTCAGCACTATTGTTAACTTAGGGCAGATGTTTTTATTTTATTTGGCTTATAATTCCTTACTAAATGTAGTATTTCATCCCAATGTACTCCGTCTTTGATATGATTTAAATAAAATTCCTTGTCATTATAAATATTACGAATACAAATCAAATAGTTTCCTGGTTGCAATTTTCTAATTTCGGCTATGAGTAATGTATGCTTTACGCATGCGCGCATTGAAAGAAATGTTTAATAAAGTAAACAAATAAATATTAAGCTTCTTTTTTTGTAAATTTTGATACCCTTTAGATCATAATTGCTCATTATTTTATAAATTACGGTTTCATATTTTTAATTTTATAATTTCTGCATGCCATCTTACCAGATTTAAACTGATGATCTATAATCCGGAAAAACCGATAATCCGGAATCGCCGAAAGTCCCGATGAGTCCGGATTAAAGACTTTTGACTGCAATAGGGTTTCACAAGCTTCAACTACTTAGGTTACCATAAATGAAACAACGAGCTTGGCAATAAATGAAACAACTTAGCGATAATTAAGACACAATAACACGCCTAACAAATACTAATTCAGAAATTAAACAACGAAAATCAACATTATATTTTCAAATTGTCACAGGACTAGTTTCAATGGTTTTACCAAACCAAGATCCTCAGCTGCAAAAGCACAAATACCATTGCGCTTTTGCAGCTGAGGATCTTGGTTCAATAAAACCATCGAAACTGGTCCTGTGACAATTTGAAAATATAACGCTGATTTTTGTTGTTTGACTTCTCAATTAGTAACTTAGCGATAATTCAAGGGCACCCTTAAATATACTCTAACCGAATCAGAGGATACACATCTTCTGAATGCATATTTGCATCCAGAGTATGCTGTGGTTGTATCATATGGCAACAAACGATGTGAGAAAAATTTGTGATTAATGACACTTTAAATTACAGAAAATTTATTGATGTATCAGAGTCAGAATTAACGACACAAGTCCTTGAATTAATGCCACCAGTCTAGCTTTTCCTTGCTAATGAAACTTTTATATTTCAAGAGCCTTATCATGTTTCCATTCAAAAAAATGAAAAATGGTTTTGGGTAAATAAAGTTGCATTGTTTGAATGGCTAGGAATGGCCTTCACTAAGTCCATTGAAGACGAATAAAAAGCTTATTAATCAGAAAAAATGAGATAAAATACAGTTTTTTTTTTTTTTTTTTTTTTTTTTTTTTTAAAGCAATTACATAATCACGTATCATACACAGTCCAGTCACATTAATGTGACCATCTGTCAAAAGCCAGAATAACCACCTTTCGCAGAGCGGACTGCTGCGAGACGTGCAGGAAGAGAGTCACATAGGTCCCTGAAGGTGTTTTCTCTGGGATGTTGAGCCATGCCAACTCTAATGCCGTGGCCAGCTGCGCTAGATTACGCGGTTGAGGATCCATGGCGCGAACAACTCGATCGAGATGGTCCCACAGATGCTCGATTGGGTTTAAGTCAGGTGAGTTTGCTGGCCAGGGGAGGACGGTAAATTCATCCTGGTGCTCTTCGAACCACGCACGTACACTGGCAGCTGTATGGCACCTCGCATTGTCCTGCTGGAAGATGCCATCATCCTGAGGAAAAACAATGCGCATGTAGGGGTGAACATGGTCCGCAAGGACAGATGTGTACTTGTATTGATCCTTGTGCCTTCCACAATGATCAGTGAACCTAGAGAATGCCAGGAAAACATTCCCCAGACCATAATGCTCCTGCCTCCAGCTTGGACCGTTCCGGCAATGGTTGCAGGGTGGTTCCTTTCAGAGGTTTCACGCCTTATACGCCAACGTCCATCTGTCTGATGGAGCATAAAACGCGATTCATCCGAAAACGCAACCTGTCACCACTCAGTGGACGTCCAGCTGCTGTACTGGCGTGCAAATTCTAGCCTTCGCCGTCGATGAACAGCAGTCAGCATAGGTGCACGAACCAGGCGTCTGCTTCGGAGGCCCAGACGCAGCAATGTTCGCTGAATAGTACTTTGGGAGACACTTTTGGTAGCCCCTTGGTTCATTTTGGTGGTCAGTTGCTCAACGGTAGCCCGTCTATCTGCCCGAACGCATCTCAGCATGTCGTTCGCCTCTGTCATCTATGGCCCGTGGTGCACCACATTTGCCACATCGCGGATTTTGGACAGTCCCATTTTGCCATGCACGGTACACTTTTACCACGGTGGCACGCGAACAGTTCACAAACTCAGCCGTTTCGGAAATGCTTCCACCCTTGGCCCGAAAGCCAATGATCATGCCCTTTTGGAAGTCGGATAAATCGCTTCGTTTCTGCATTACGCCAACGATTGAAATGTTTTCCCGAAGCCCTCACACACCCTTTATATACGCTCAACTGCACTGTGCTGCCACCTGCCTTCTGTGATTGGTTATTTAACTCTGACATGGAAAGTACGTGGTGGTCACATTAATGTGACTGGACTGTGTATTAAAATACTTGATGAACAAAATTCATTGGTTTATTCCATGTGATGTCGATGTCAGACTATAACTGCAGTGAAAGATTTCTCAATGCTTTTTTATGGTCCAAGAAACACAACTCTTATGAAAATATTAAAGTATTTTATAAAATGTATTACATTATACTTTAAATTAAATTACCATTGTAATAATGTTTGCTTTTTAATATAAAAATACATTTGCTGCTAAAAAAGTTCAATTTTAAAAAATGTATATTTTTCAAACCCTTTCAAAAGTTTGGATGCTTAACTTGTTTTAGCTTCTGTAGGCGAGCAGGCTTTTATTAATGTATACATAATATAGCATGTAAGATGACTGGTAACATTAAAATAAATATAAAATATGCAAAACAAAAATAATTTATGTTAACATACATGCCAACTTAACTGGCAATATTAAACCAATTTACCATTACTTTTGCAAAATAAAGAAATAAAAGATACACCTTATATTTTAATTTAAAATATAGAAAATATTATATTCAAGGGTCCTCTAGTAAAAAATACATAAATTAACATAAAATCAAGTGTTTTGGTAAAAATTAATAAAAAAAAAGAAATACGTATTTTAAATACAATATGTTTACAAGAATGCTTTTTCTTATAATTTAAAAAAAATACATAATAGGCATTATACAGAAATGATTTTTTGTTTAAATATTAAAGTTTTTTTATTTAAAAAAAATTTAAATCTTATAGTACTTTTTCAAGCAGCTGATACATGGCCATTTTTCAGCATGTACAGTTAAGAGAAATAACGAAGAGTAAGAAATTTCAGAAGTTTAAGAAAGGAAATAAACTACTTCCTGAAACAAAGATATGTGACCTACAGGAAAATAATGTCATGGTCTGGAGATTCTGAAATGAAAATGACTCAAGCTGATGCATTCCAATAAGAAAAAAATTCACCCAATGTTTTGCATCAAACATTATCGGGCACAGAAACAGCTGTTCAATGCTTGACCGAACACAAAACTTGTTCTCAGCTGAGAGGTATACTACCTAATGTCATTGTTTGACAGCACACTGAAGAGATGCAATGATTAAAATATCAATAAAAAATGTATTTCATAATTAGATAGTGAAAATTAAAGTTTATAATTTACCTGCAGATTAAAAAATATTTTATAGTTTTTAGAAGAATGCTTCCATTTTTTGACTTTTAGGTATCATGGCATACTCAGACTTGACTGACCTAAAATTTAATGGAAAAGATTAAATTTAATAATGTAATAACATACGTAAATTAAAATTTCAAAAAAAAAAAAAAGAAAGAAAACAGAGAAGGGTAAATCTACATTAACCAGGAATTAAGCAAATTTTAAAGAATATTAGTTCAATAAAAATGAGAACTTAATATTTAAAAATCTCAGAATTGTAAGTTCATTATCCTTAACAGAAATAAATAAAAAAAATCTGATGTAAAATACACCTAATCAATACATTTCATCATTAACCTAACTAATAGATTAAGATTACGATGCCTTATATATAATCTCAAATCCTTATAATATTTACATAATTTGTATAAATTACAAATTTCCAGAAATTACACAAATCTTAAAAATGACTTCTATTAAGTCTAATAACTTTTATACAGTCAAAAGTCGTTAATCCGGACTCGTCGGGACTTCGGCGATTACGGATTATCGATTTTTCCGGATTATAGATCATCAGTTTAAATCTGGTAAGATGGCATGCAGAAATTATAAAATTAAAAATATGAGACCATAATTTATGAAATAAAGAACAATTATGATCTAAAGGGTATCAAAATTTACAAAAAAAAAAGCTTAATATTTGTTTACTTTATTAAACATTTCTTTCAATGTAAGTTGTTTAAGTTGCTTCGTTTTTTATGTGATAATACATTCTCTTTAATTCTATAAACAGACATAATTTCTTGTTCAGTTACAAAGTTCTGCTGTTCAAGTCCTATAATTGCTGTGTCTACCGACTAATTTGTCAATCGAAATTTTTCGTTTTCAATAACCTCTGTCACTTTCTTCGCTATCGGAAGCGAATTATAATGACGAGGAATTTGATTTAAATCATATCAAAGACGGAGTACATCGAAATGAAATACTACATTTAGTAAGGAATTATAAGCGAAATAAAATAAAAACATCTGCCCTGAAGATAAGGATGGTGCTGACAGATCAACTTCCAATTCATTGCGTGCAGCAGCGTTAAAGATAAACAAATTTAAAGTTTAGATAAACAAAGGATATGCCTTTATCCATTTTTTGCAGCGATTCCACTTTTTGTTTAATGAACTTCGAAAACATACTTTCGCTTTGTAGATCCTTTACATATTAATAAATATATATCAGAAATTCTATTTGACATAATCGAAAGGTCAAGCTTACTTTTATAAAATTGCTCTAACAGTCTGCAAAAAATAATAAGCCGGATCCAATTCGAAGATTAAGGAACAACGCAATCTGCAACATTAACTGAAATAGAAAATGAGGTAATTTTAGCTTAGCTTATACCGTCCGTTGTACATTAAACGCGCACTCGTAAACGTATTTTGTGCACGCGCACAAGCATATTCGCAGCCGTAAAGGTCTTTCGCGTCAGTGCGACGCATGCGCAGAAAGTTTGTAGCTTTGAGGAATTAACGACTTCTGACTGTAATGCTTTTATGTAATTGTAAGTACTTTATATTTTGCAGCATACACATAATTTTGTAAGATACTTAATGTATGGTGATGAATATGACATTATAATTAATAATGAAATAACGTTTTTTTTTTTTTTTTTTTTTTCAATTTGCCCCTTCTTAACATTAAATTGTATCTTTAAAAAATATCTGGGAAATGGTGATACTGCAACCTGATGTGGTCTATCCAGGTAATTTTCAATAAAACTAATACAGAATTTTGCAGCACTAGAGCTGTTCGCTGAATACTGCGATACATAGCCCATGGTTTTTCTGTATATAGCTTTCCATTTAGGTAGCCCCAGAGAAAAAATCTACGGCTGTTATATATGGCAACTGTGACGGCCAATTAAAATTCAAAGATTAAGAAATTATGCACATGAAATTGCTGTAAATGTTTGCTGAAAATTTCTTATAAAAATTATTTTTTTGTCAAAAACCACTGAACTGCACTATGCATGTTCTGAACATTAAAGAAACTGCATTTTGCTCTTTGCATCAAAATAATAGAATGTTGGTTTTCAAAGTAAAACTGAACAACTTTCATTTTTCACTTGCTGGTAAAAATTTTAACCATAAAATCTGTGCACGTGTTGCCTATACAGTCCTAAAATTAATGATTTAAAAAAATAACTTTTAATGCTAATTATTCATCACTTAATATAATGATCTTTGTTAAAATTCTTCAATAAAATTTAAATGGAAATTCCGGTTGATCTTTACATTATGGTAACTTGGCGTTTTTTTGGCGAAAATTTGTCGACCAACTCTCCTACAGCAACCCTCTTTTTTTTTTTTTCCTTTCCCCCCGCCGCATTTTGTCTTCACGAAGTAAAGACATGTTTCTTTCTTTTTATCTACTGAACACTTCTTCTTCCAACAATCTACTAGCCGAATTACACTTATGCTAGAAATTTTATCTAACAAAACTGCTTAATTATGACAAATATTCACTGCAAAATTGGGAAAAAGTGAACAATACCATACTCCTTACGCGTTTCTCAAATAACACATACACACTAAACCAAACAAACACGCCGACTTATTTTTTACTTAAAAAAAAATCCCAGAATTACACAAAAATGCCATTGCGCACACTCTCACTATATCCATGTACACTGCTTTTTTCTCATAAATTAAGAAATTTCACGAAAATACATGACAATTTTCTGAACTTTAAACTCGGTAAAAGAACATATATGAAATTACATGATTGAAACGTTTATATACCTTTCCAAATATGAACATTTTCCACATATTTAATAAATAAAATACCCAAAAACTTTTACCTCTAAATCATCTATTACATTATATACACGTCACCAGCAATTCATAACCGCAAGCATTACAAATACTTAGTATCAATATTTTAAATGATTTCATGCACGTTTCCTTCATTTAATTAAATTCAAAAACCTACTTAAAATATAATGAAGCACATACATTAATTAATAAAACCTTACAACAATCCTAATTACTTTAAACTAATCATTGCTAATAACAATTTTCCCAATAATACCAAATTCCTTTACTTCCCCTTACATTTAGAACAATGCATAAAAATAATATCCACAAATATTAAAAATACTAACTTACCTAATCTTCTTCAGAATCTTGATTACGTGTTCGATAAACTTTTCTTTAGTTACACGGCCATAGGATCCAAAATTCACGAACACTGTTTCACACAACACAGAATAAACCAATACAAATTTCCAGATTTTTTCCCGATTTCCCTCCTTTTCCGATTAAAGAACCGTAATTCGTTCATTAATATCACATGACATATCCCATGATCTCTCATTTCCCTCACACAAAATAATGCGTAATCGGAACTGAGTACTGCTCACATTATTACCAAAGTCCCAGGTAGTAACCTTTATCGCCTCCAAAATGTCGCCAAACTACCAGTTACCATATTGTAAAGATCAACCGAAATTCCCAATGATAATACACTACCTGGCCAAAAGTATCCAGACAATCCCCTACCGAAGTGCCTCTGGCAGATGATGTAATGCATAATGAAAAGCTATAAAAGTGTTGGCAGTGGTTTCTCAGATCGTATTTATGCATTTGTGAGACAATTAGTCAATGGAGCTTAGTGACTTTTATTGTGGCAGCAACCTTTGTGGGAAATCAGTTCGTGAAATTTCGAACATTCAAATCTAAGTGTCATGTTTGCGGTTTTTGCTTATTGTGATTAGTGTGTGGAGTGTTTTTTCTCCTTTGTATCTAATTGTAATGCCAATTTGTAGTTTGCATACTAGTGAAAAAGTAAGCACTGTATTTTTTCAGAAATATGCTGCATCGCTTAATGGTGGAGATTGTAGGAATTCACATGCCATGAAGTAAACTTAGATAATTCTCTGATGTTCATTCAAGTTAAAGATTGATATGTACACATAAAGCAGTACCAAGTTGCTTTGCGATGCCGAAACCAGATCACTGGGTATATGGGAAGATGAACAACATTAAAAAATTAGAAAAGGATTTTGCAATCTTAAAATTCTTTTCTAACAATTAAAGTTTATATTTAAAATCTTTAAAGGTGTCTTTTCTTTTGATATGTTGATAATATCTGCCAATATAATGATATTTATCAACAACTTGCAAATGCTTTTTAAAAAGTTGTAAAAATCAACAGTTTGGCCCTGTTAAATAACTTTTTTCCTTTTCAATAATCAAAAAGCACAAACCTGTGCTAATGTGGTTGCGTTAATATGTAAATATCAAATTTTATTTGAAGAATGGCTTCACGTAAATGGCAACATTTTTTTTTTCTTTTGCTATTCATCAGGTGTCCAGTAAACTTTTGTTTAACACTTAAAAAGCAGACCAAAATGGCGTAATGATTAGCATCACACATATCATTGGAACCAAACTTCAAATTTCTGAAAGGCATAGACATGGAACTCTGGGCAAGGTATCTTGCTTTCAGTCAAAACCGTGAGGAAGTTTAGGAAAACAATACTCATGTTCTTAGTTTAGTTGAAAAATATCTGACATTGAAAATTATTTTCTGATGGATTGTTGACTTTCATTTTAATTTTGTATTATACTACCATAAAGTTATTACAAACTTCATTATTTTCTGCAATACCAATTAAAAACAGCTAACCAGTCAGCCTTTCTTTGACACAATTGTTTGCTATCGGTTGAAAACACATTTGCACACACATGTCAAAGGTTGAATTTCTTTGCTGTAAAGCTTACCATCGCGTATTTGAATGAATTTCACTTCCAAGTGAGTAATTTATTACAAATAAATACAGCAAATGGCCCAGCCTTTTATTAACAAAAGGCTTATTTTTACAGAAGGCAATACCCTCAAAGATGAAAATTATTCTGTACAAATTTTCAATCATAATAAGACTGGCATTTATTTTGAAAGAGCATTGTAGCACATTTTTGCAATAAAGTCAGCAAAAAATATTCAAAATAATAAGCTATGCATAATACGAGTTTTTTTAATTATAAATTAAAAGGAATGAATACAAGAGAACTTATAAACATAATAAAGATTTTCATCATAAATTAATTTTACAACGTGCATTTTTTTCTATATTTCTCATAAAGACATAAAAGCATGTTTCAGTTACAAAACAGACTGCTTGAATGGATGCATACTTTCATATTCTTCCACATACATGATATAAACATAAACTGATTTTCCTTTACCAAGACATTTATCCAGAACTATAAAATTTTTAACACTTCATTATAATTAATTACCAGTCATTTTTTTTTTTTTTTTTTTTGTTGCTAATTTTGATTAAATATTTCATTACTGATTTCTACTTTTTTTAAAGATAATATTAACACTTATAAGAAGTATTCTGGTATATAATAGCTTGAGACATAATCCTAATAAACATAGCAGATACTAACTTTACCACATTCATCATAACTACTCCAGAAGGGAGGTAAAATTATTGAAAATATACAAAAAATGTGTGGTCTTAATGCTTTGCCCTTATTTGAAATTCAGGTAAATGTATTACCATAGTAATGCCTGAAGCAAAACCATGCTTAATTTTTGAAAATCGCACCTTTAGAATTAAAAAGTAATATTTTCAATTTCTACTCCATTTATTTAATTTTCTCAGTTAAAACATCCATGTTAATTTTCATAAGTGGTATGAGATTAAGAAACTAATTTACTAATAATAAATATATTTGCTTATCAAAAATTAATATTCACATACAATTTTTAAAAACTTAGCATGAATTGATAACTTTCCCAATGACCTGATAATTATGGACTAAGACAATTCAGCCATGAAATTTTCCAACAAAACTGAAGTTACTTTACTGAATGTCTCCTTTACTTCCTCAGTTAGCATACAGGTTATTATATTAACTAATGAATTCTCTTAACTTTGAAAAAACACAAATACTGCATAAAAATCCAGAAAACAAGAATTTTTTTTAAACATATACTTTATCTGAAGACATTTTAGAATTCCAATAAAAATAATTTCTAAACAAAATCAAAAATTTCCTTACAATAAATGAATAAATATTATACCTGTCAATGGAAACTTCGAACTACCATCAAGTTCCTAGTGAGGGGAAGAAAGAAATCATAAGACAGGAAAAATTAAGGTGAAACTTTTCTTTTAACTTAGCATGCTTCTGGTCTCTAATTATTTAATACGATTAAAAAGATTTTGACAATTTACCCATGCAAAGCTAAATATGTAAAAAATATTTTATTTCCTATGTACTATGACTGTATTTTTAATTCACTGTTTACACCGAAAATAAATAAAAATGCTTTCATCATCATCTACATACGCACCATTCTAACAAATGCTTTTTATCTACTAAAGAAAATAAGAATTAAAAAACTAAAACCCATTCCTTATGCCATTTTGACATTTAAAAACACTTGCTACTATTACAGTTTCCTAACGTCAATATTGTTCATTATTCTGACGTATTGCCAAAAAGGAAAAAAAACATAAAAAGCAACCTGTATGATACTTTTCACGTTCATATCAGAATGTGCGCCCTCTGGTGTCAAGTGCTTAAATGAATATATTTCCAATTCGAAACTGATAGATCGCAGCTAGTCGTTTCACACATGATACTTTGAAAGTTCCGGCCTCTCTGTTCCGTTGCAAAAAAAAATAATCAGAAGTAATTATTTATAATAGATCGGCTTCGAAGAGGGTTTAAATTTGACACATCGTTAAATTTAGGAAGCTCCAAAGTATTTCTGAACTGTGATTAGTACGGAAACTATATTTGGCGACAATATCGCCAATGGCAAAAATTAAAAACATGTCTTGTTTTGCAGCTTTTAAATCTTTTTGTGTATGGTGCCTTACTTTGCCGATTGTAACAAAGAGATATATACTGGTTGAGAGCTTATTGCAACCTCCAACAGGTTAAAACATTAGTGTCACGTGACTGCTGGTCGAATTCCGAAAGTCCGGAAATACTTTACATTCATTTCTAAGGCACGAAAGACACCTGCTCTGCTTGGTCACATAAAATTTAAGAAAAAATGGTTACCGCTGCAGCGCCTATGTAGAAAGTTTGTAAAGGAGACAGAACCTTTATAACTATTAACTGCAGATTTATTTTTATTTCATTTTTTGTCATTTACTACTCGTTTTTTTTTGTTTTTTTTTTTTTTTTTTTTTTTTTTTTAAGACTCCCTAACGTTGGGGAAAAAAATTAAAATGAACGCTCTACACCGATTTCTCTCTCTCTTTGAAATGGGTCTCCATTTTGCGACTCCTTCACCCCCAAACATGGAACAAAAAAAACTGAAATCAACGCTCTACACAATCTCTCTTTTGAAATGCGTCGCCATTTCCAAACTTGGGGAGAAAAAAAACTGAAATGAATGCTCTACACAATCTCTCTTTTTTGAAATGGGTAAGTCATATTTTTTTTAGGATTCTTCCTCCCCCTCCTTCTAACCTTGAAGAATGGAAATGAACGCTCTACACGCTCTCTCTTTGAATTGGGTAGTCATTTTAAGATCCTTCCCATCTTGGAAAATGGAAAAGGAATGCTTTACACCTTCTCTCTCTCTCTGAATTGGGAAACCACCAAGATTGGTATGTATAATTTTTTTTTATTGTTATCATGACCCTCTTACAAAAAAATTTTTTTTTGTTTACAACATTTCCGATGTGATTTCAGAAATGCAACCCCATAACAGTTCAATTTCATCCGAAGATAATTGATCTAAACAATTTTTGACCCACCCATCCGTATTATTATTATTTCCTTCTTCTTCTTCAGGATCCATCCAACTTTGTAAGTCCATATAATCTTTCCATACGGGAAAGGCTGGATCCTCCCCAGATTGTCTTGAAACTCTTGAAGTCTCTTTGGGATGAGTGGGAGGATCCACGATGTCTGAACCCGGCTGAGATTCTATTTCCATGACCTCTGGACACGTTGGAACTTCTGGACCCGACTGAGAATTTATCTCCATGACTTTTGGACACGTTGGAGCTTCTGGAGCCGGCTGAGATTCTATTTCCATGACCTTTGGACACGTTGGAACTTCTGGAGCCGGCTGAAGTTGGACGACCTCCATGATCTGTGGACACGTTGGAGAAGAAGATGTTGGAAAAGGTTCTGGACACGTCTGAGAGAAGTCCGAAAGAAGCTGCTTGTCTGAACCCGTCTGCGAAGAAGAAGAAGAAGATTCCAGGTTCTTGGATGAATCTTCCCCGTCAGCAGGCATGTTACGATAAGTCGACCGTTTTTTAATCGGTAATTTTTTCTCTTCTTCTTCTTCCTCTTCCTCCTCCTCCTCATCTTCAATGGTGATGATTTCGATTACTTTCCGTTGACTCGTTCCGGGCCCTGACGGTTTGATCCATCTGCACTTATCATCTAAAGGAGGGATGGGAGAAAGTGGCCGTGGATCCTCTCGAAACATCATCGGCGTTTGAAAAGGAATCTGTTTTTTTATTTGTTTCCAAAGCGTCCACGGGCATCGATCCACGAGAAAGAGGCTCTTCTGGATCGTGAGGATGAGGTAGCACGTTTTCGGAGGAATGACATAGTTTTGGAAAGGTCTTAAAACATCTTTCTTAAATTTCGTCCTGTCGGCGATGTTAAAACTTCTTTCCTGGAGATGGAGCGACGAGGATTCGTAATAGACGAGGGGGGAAGCTGTGGTCTGAACAATATGCACTTCGTCCTCGGCCGTCGTTCTGACTCCAAACGTAAAATATCTTTTCGTGAGAAAAATATTCCTCCATCGAAAACTCATGCGGGGATCCGTATACCTCCGATCTGTTTGAATAGGCCGTCTCAAAGCTCGATTCACCCGGTTCCAAGAGATGGGAGATTCCTCTTTCGTTTGTTGAGATTCGAATAAATTCCTATACAGGTTTTGAACGAGCAGGTCAGAGGATCCGACATCCTGCTTGAAAGAGACGATGGCTCGATAAGTGGGTAGATGTGGAATAAATTTTGCAGAATGACATGCCAGAAAGATTTTCAGGTTTGTGATTTGCTTGAGCGTTTTCAAATCCTCTACACCCGAAATGGGTTGAGTCGGAAAAACATCGAACAGCGACATGGCTCCTAATGGGGGGAAAATTCATCTCGCTCAGTGCTCTCCGCCTTCTTATATATATACACACACACACACGTAGAATCTCTATGACGTCATAGTTTCATTCATTTTTTTTTTGGTTTGAGTGGGTCGGAATGCGGAAGTGAAAGTCATCATGAACTAACCATGAACTTTCCCCAATTTTATTTTTTCAGTTACCCTTTCTCTATCCCAAGGACGTCCAGAGATATATATAGAGAGAGAGGAAGAAGGGGGAGGGAACTCTCTCTTTCTCTCTATATATAAAATAGAAAAAGGAGAGCCAAACAGTTGTTATGTTTTTTTGGAAGAGAAGTCGATCATCATGAAGAATCCCCAGCTCACCACATGTATCCCTTTCAAATATAAAAATTTTGAACTTTCTTTTTATATCATCCAAGGAGTTCTTTACTTGAAAGCCTCCGATTTTTCAAAATGTGCGGGGTATCATATCGTGGGGAGCTACCACAAGATGCGGCATTACTTTCTGGCCGACGAAAAAATTTTCACGGCTCGTGAAATTTCAACTTTGGATTCACAAATTTTGTCGATGAAAGGAGCCAAATATCATTACACGTCTACCTTTCTAACCCTCCCGCAAATAAAACCATATCATGAATTGTCTTCAGAAGAAAAAGGGGATTCTCGTTCATTTTAGCGATTGGTTGCACAAATTTCTGCACGAAACTCTCTCGATCGTGAGGACTGGGAAGAATCCATATTATATTCTCGAGAACAATCATCTGAACGAGACCACGACTTTTCAAAAAATTATCGAGCAAGAAAATATAGAATGGTTGAAAAGCTACCCCATCTCTCTCTCACCGATGATGAGGATGAGAAAGCGGGGGAGCCTGTTCAGAAGAAGAAAAAGTCTATCCTCATCCATGAGGACGAGGACACGAAGGAGTCTGTTCGGATTCATCTCCTTCCTTTGTCAAACCCCTCGAGAACGAAAAATCAATCCCTTTGTCAAGACCCCTCAAGAATGAGGAAGGACCTGCCCTCCCTTTGTCAAGATCTCTCGAAGAGGAAAAAACCTCTCGATTTGTCAAGACTCTCCGAGGATAAGGGAACCGAAACTTTTCTCCCTTTGTCAAGACCCCTCGAGGAGGAGGAGAGGGACCGCTCAATATCTCAAAACAGGATTCTCCTATATCTCTTGAGGATCCGAGAGAAATCATTCCTACTGAAAAACAATGTAGGGACGATCCTCAGAAAAGACCCTCTGATGAAACTAGGCTTCTCTTCCAAAAACGACTCTGCAATAATAATAATATGACATCTTCTTCTTCTCAACAGTATCCTAGAGAATTTGCAGATAAATGCATTCAAACCAATCCCTTTATAGTAACATTTTTGATTGGAGAACCTCTGTATTAGCTTTGGGAGGGAAGGAAAAATGAGATTCTACAATGTTTGTATGACAGTTTAGGAAAAAAAGGGAGGAGAGGGGGGCGTAAAGTAAAAAGTAAAAATCAATGGGTATATTTGGCTCAGAATAAAAAAAAGTAATAAATAGATCAGGAAGAGCTCATTATTAAGAAAATGGTGGTGTCTTGCCAATCGAAAAATCGAGTCGGCTGGGAAAAAATTTCTGAGAGCTGGAAAAAAATTTTCTCTGGCTCAGATTTAAAAAAAAAAAAAAAAAACTTTTTGTTAATTTTTATGATGTCTTTAGACATCATAAAAATTAACTTGACCTCCCCTATTTTGGATTGAATCAGGTCTCAACATGTTTCAACATGCTTCTAAAGCAGATTTCCAAGAAAAAGATGACTCATTCTTTTCTTAGAAATCTATTCTTAGAAAGGGGAAACATCATTCCCAGACAAAAAGGATATGTAAGACATCATAAAATTAACAAAATTTTTTTTTTTTTTCTGAGTCAGAGAAAAATTTTTTCCCAGCTCTCAGAAATTTTCTCCCCGCCGACTCGATTTTCGATTATCAAGACATCGCCATTTTTTTAAGAATGAGCTCTTCCTGATAAAAAAATTCCAAATTTCGCTTCCAAACCATCCATGCTGTTCAAGAGATCATGTTATATAGATATTTTTTTAGGAGTTTCTGTCAAAATTGAATTGTGCCGGATCCATCTTGCGAATTTTTTCTCTGTGTCTTTAAATAATAATGATACCGAACCGCTTTTTGTAGAGCGCAATGGAAAAAACCTTTTGTGTGGTTAGGACAATTCATGCGTTCGATCCCATTGTATTTGAGAATCTCTTGCGTCGATCCCGAAATGCGACTTAGAGATCTTTGCAACCATTTCTCTAAAAACCGCCGTTTCGTTTCTCCTCGCACCCAAATCACGGAAAAGGGTTCCGTCAACATCGTTAACACCCATGGAAAATAACTGTACGGAATTTCTCCTTCGTACCACGACAAGCCGTGATAATAATCACTCGCCCACACAGCGGTTCGTTTTTCTTTTTCGGTGAGCATTTTCCATGGAAACGGGGGTTTAAAAACAAATACCCCTCGAGAAGTGCCGTCTAACGTGACGTAAGCCAATTCTTTCACAATAAAGGATCCTTGAGAATCGTAGAAACCTTCAAAGTCGAGCACGAGTTCCATATTGTCTTTTTTCTTTCCAAGGTGACCTTTATTATTTATATATTTTTTTTATTAAGATGCGCACGATAATATATTGGGGGAAGGGGAAAAATGTGACCTTTTCCCAGAATTCATAGGACCTGTCACGTGCTCCCTTGCCTATCTCTCTTTCTATAAAAGAGGAGATCGCAGAGAGAACGCTATCCTTTTTCCTTCAGGACACATACAGAGAGAGAGAGAGAATTTTTCTTTTTTTTTTTTGTTTCATTGAATATGGAAAACCTGAGTGCCAAACCTCTCAAAGGTTCCTACATTGTTTTGGATATGGAGTCCTTTCTCTGCCATGATCAAAAGACTGGAGATATATGTTTCATCTTGAAAGAGCTGGGCTACCTCACCTATGATTTAACTTTATGCGGATCTATGATTTTCCCCTCCTGTTCCTTACGATGACTTATCGTACCGCAATCGAGCTGTCGTCAACCAGACCAAGCGGACCCGACACGGCCTGGAATGGAACGAGGGTCGTCTTTCCTACGAGCATCTTCCTACGATCCTGAAAATGCTGACCGAAAATGTGGAGGCGATTTACGTCAATGGATACGATAAAGCCGAATTCTTCAGCAAGCTGTGCCAGCGGCCCGTTTACGAGTTTTACGTCCCGGGGAAAACCGAGTGGCGATACAAGACGAAATGCACGCGACACCAATTTTTTCCCCAAGCAGCAGTTGCTTCATTGTGCCGAGAACAAGGTAAAGAATTTTCGAATTCATTTGAAGGAGGGCAGTTACGTTCTCCGGAAACTACACTCCCCAGAGAACAAAACCTTCGAAAAAAAGAAGAAGAAGAAGAGGAGAGCCAGCGGTGGAGGAAGAAGAAGTGTACGAGGTCGAGGCTCCCCAGGAGAATAATCCCTGTGATGATGAGGAGGTGGAGGAAGAGAAGGATGAACTTTCTACGAAATGTTTAACCCTTAGCCTGTCGAGTAATTTTCTGCGAATCCCTTTAAAACTGTCGCTAGTTTTGGACCGAACTTCCCGTAAAATGTCGCGAAAATAACAATAAACCTCTGAAAATTGTCAAGCAGTTCTTTTGTTATTTCCCGTCCCTCCCAGAATTTTAGATCAATTGTTCCGCCTAAAAGAGATTGATTGCACTGTAAACATTAGTAGATGCGAACTGTCAAGAACTTTGCGAATGAATAGCTTCTCTCTGACGGACCCTGGGAGTGCTCTAGGGTAATTGTCCACCAAATACTCATCAACATTTCATGAGTAAACGGTATCAGAACTAAAAGGATATTCTTTCATACAAACATCTCATTTTCGAATAAATTGCTTTTAAAATTTGCCTGTTTTCATTTTTAATTTTTATGCATTTTATAACCAAGTTACCCAGATTTCGAAGTCACTGATTTCATTGCAGATCGATTAAATTGCAGTATAATTTATTAATAAAATCTGTATTAACTGGTACATGTTTCATTCCTTCTGCGACACTGTTACAACATTTAAATAGCATTATTTATTAGTTCCTTTGAATGTTACATTATTTTCCGATTTTTTTTGCATAAATTAAAA